CCCCGTGCCGAGGACCCGGGCGTGGGGCCGCGGCGCGGCCGGGCTATCGTGGGAGGGCGGCGGCGGGAGCGTGGGGCAGGCTCGTTCCCCGGCGTTGGGGCGTCCTGGTTCCCCCCCTCCCGCAGCCCTTTATCTTGCCTCCCGGGCGGGTCGCGGCGCCCCCATCCCTCTCCAGGAGGAACGGTGGACAGCCAAGGGGCGCGGGTGGCGGCCAGACAAAGGGACGACGTGAGGGACCCGGCCGAGCCCTCGCCGGGGAGGTTGGAGACAAAGCTGGGGCCTGATTAGAGGCGGGCGACACGCCACAAAAGTGACCCAGCTAAGAAGTCCCTCTGCCTTCGGGACTGCTGCGCAAAAGCCCGAACTTGAGGACAGTTGTCAGGGCCTGGTCCTTTCGGTCACCCTCCAGCCCCACCTGGCCTTCCGGGAGGTGAGCGACGCCGCGATGGCGGGAGCGGCTCGGGGGGAAGCGGGTCTCACCTTCGCCGCGTGGAACTTGAATTCGTTTTGTGCCGGCCGCACCCACGGTCCCGCCCTACTCCGCCGAAGGAAAGGCTGTTTGTAAGCGTCTTTTCACTCCTGGAATATACGTTCTCCCCGGTTTTGAATTCCGTGTCCACATACCTTCAATGGGGGGGGGGGGTCGTATGTATATGCAGTCCACTTGCCCAAGCTTAACAAATGTAGACTATTTGAGCTCCTTGAAAATGCAAGCATCAACCCTTGCTCAGAAGACTGCCAAAGAGCAGAAATGCCAGAGCGGAATATCGGGAAAGATCAAAATTCAAAAATTTGACAGTTTGAAGTTTTTGATTCGTATAACTTCGTATAATGGGGGGGGGGGGGGTCGTATGTATATGCAGTCCACTTGCCCAAGCTTAACAAATGTAGACTATTTGAGCTCCTTGAAAATGCAAGCATCAACCCTTGCTCAGAAGACTGCCAAAGAGCAGAAATGCCAGAGCGGAATATCGGGAAAGATCAAAATTCAAAAATTTGACAGTTTGAAGTTTTTGATAGAAATAACTAATGTTTATTGAGAGTTTTTAACCTAATGCTTTAAACGGTGCTTTAAATGCTTCGAAGGTATGGTCACTCCTTTAATCCCCACAACCACCGTGTGAGATAGATACTATCACCACCCTTAATCTATCAAAGAAATTGTCACAGAAAAGTTATGTCACATGCCCGGGAACACACAGCTGATAAACAGCAGAGAGGGGATTGGAATCCAATAATCTACTTCCAGAGCTGAGCTCTTAAACACAGGGCCCTCTTCTTCCTCGCACTTAAACCCAGTCCAGAAATCCCTACCAGCTATCAGGTACACCATTGACGTGATGCCCACTTCAGTCTCCAGTAAAGAGGCGGCACAGACGTGAATACGTGCTCTTCAGTCAATTGTCTGTGGACTTTAGTTGTCTCTCTGAAAAGGAGGCAGTTGAACTAATCAGTACAACCCCTTCCTACCTCACATTCTTTGAGTGATCCTAGTTTGGTAGATTCTCAACCCAAACTGAATAGAGGATAGACGGAAGAATAAAAAAACCAGGACCTTCACTCCCTGGGGTACTGTTCTAATGGGAGTTGTAATCAATTAGAGACCAAACCTGTTCAATGAGTGGCTTATTAAAATATGTTCTCGCAATAATCTATACCTTTCTATAAATATAATCTTAGAAAAAAACATTTTATTTTTCTTTTCTCCACTTCGGGGAAGTGGAGAGGAAGTGTACAGGTGGCTGAGCATACAAACTGAAGGAAAAATTGAAATACCATTTTAAAAACGTAAAAGGTGGGTGTTGGGAACATATTGCAACCTAAAGTAAGCAGCATAAAGATATGTTCTCAGAGCTAGAACAAGTAATGTCTACAAAAAGGAGTTTCCCTAGGATGAATTTTTATTTTAGTAGGACATGACAGAATATCGTCTCTATTTGTGGTGACTACATAAAAGTATTAACTTTAATATCTAGAATGGGGAGGATTTTAGCCATCTGGGAAAATTAAGCTGTGTCAGAGTGGTGAAGGTATAGGTAAAACATGGTGTAGTAATTATTAGACTTTGGAGTCAGATAAAACTAGGTTTTTGTCTGTCTCTGCCATTTGTTAGCGGCAACATCTCGGGCAAGTTACTTAACCCTTCTAAGCCTCAGTTTCCTCATGTATATAAATGAGCATAATAATAGCACCAACTCCATGGGTTATGAGATTATAAAAGTGTACCTATATGAAGAGCTCAGAAATGTGCTTGGTGCATGGTAAAACTTAAGAAATATTGTGCTTGGGCCGGCCCGGTGGCGCACTGGATAGTGCGCCGCTTGGGAAGCGCGGCGGCGCTCCTGCCCAAGGGTTCAGATCCCACATACAGACCGGTTCCCGCTCACTGGCTGAGCGAGGCACGGGAGCAACACCAAGGGTTGCGATCCCGTTGCCGGTCCCCGGTCCGGTACGGGGGCAACACTGAGGGTTGCAATCCGTTGCCGGACACGGAAAAAGACAAAAGACAAAAAAAAAGAAATATTGTGCTTGGGTTCACCAGAGAAACAGAACCCATATGATATACAAGCATATACATATGTAGAGAGAGATTTATTATGATGGATTGGGTTGAGATTATGGAGGCTGAAAAGTCCCACAACTTGCCATCTGTAAACTGACAGTCCAGGAAAGCCAGTGGTGTAATTCCAGTACAAGCCCAAAGGCCTGAGAACTAGGGAAGCCAATGGTGTGATTCAGTCCAAGTCCAAAAGCCTGAGAATCAGGAGCAGCAATATGCAAAGGTGGAAAAAGATGGATGTCCCAGCTCAAGCAAGTTCACCCTTCCTCCACCTTTCTGTTTTATTCTGGCCCTCAACAGATTGGATGGTGCACATTGACAAGGGCAATCTTCTTTACTCATCTAATTTAAATGTTAATCTTTTCCAGAAACATACTCAGAGACACACTCAGAAATAAAGCTGCACTGGCTATCTGTGTATCCCTTAGCTTGGTCAAGTTGACACATGATATTAATCACCCAAGGAATTTAATACAATTCTGAAAGTAGAAACTATTTTTCTGTTATTAAAAATAATACATCTTCATGTTTTTAACGAAGAAACTTAGGCCCATATTTTAAACTAATAACTCGGTGATGATTGAATAAATTGGATGAAGCCCTTCTGGACCAGTATCTGCTAATTAGACCAGAAGCTCTTAAATAGAGATGAAAGGGGAAAGAATTGAACTAATTATATACAATGCCTCACTGTCCTACCTCAGATAACATCCATCCTATAAAAGTGATTCTCATGTTCTTTATTCTTAAAAATGTTTATTGAGCACTTGCTATGTCCAAGGAACTGTGTGGGATGCTGTAAAGAATAAATGATGATTGTAATTCAAAGAAGAAAGAGTCATATTTACAAAACAGAGAGTAAAGTGTTGTAAGTACCATGTAATGTCGTCTTCTTTAATGTTAAAATTAAAAGAACACATCTAGAAGAAAGAAATTTGGCTGCAAGTCAAAAGAACTGAATTTTAATCCTGACGTTTCCACCAAATAGCTGTGAACTTCAGAAATCTGCTTAAATTCTCTGGTCCCTAAGTTTCCCATCATTAAATATGGATAATGGTAACTGTTCGTCCTACCTCATAGGAGTGCTGTGACACATGAAATTAATAACAGACTAAATTATTTTTGAAGATACTAGTACTGTTAGTATTAGAAATAATAACTAACAGTAAAGGAATTTTAATGTAGCAACCACATTGTTAACAAGAGTTACTAATGTAGACCAAGAGTGTAAGAGCACTGAGCAGCATTCATGCGTAATGAGATGTCAGCGTAGCAGTGTCTTGTCCTGGCTTCACTGCCCTCACCTCCTGAAATGGCTATGGTAATTAAAGATTACTAAAATGAAATTTTCCCTTCCCAGCTTATTTTTAACTTTGAATAAGCCACTCAGAAGAAATGAATAATCTGCCCAAGCTGCTTGTGTTTCATAAAAATGGAATGTGTCATGAAATTAGAGCTCTCAGGCAATTATTTTGCCTATTCTATTCTCTTATAACCTAGAATAACTTTGATGATGAAGGGCATTGAACCACACACATAATAATAACCCCAGTTAACTGGTTGACATCTTTAAATACTTACAAGCTAACCCTAACCTAACACCAAAAGATGGAATTGAGAAAGTCACCCTCTAAGACCTAACATGCTTCAATGAGAAAATCACAAAGTAGACTGCACAACAGGTAACCAGCACAAGAAGTCTAGCTCTACTGTTTTCTGGCTGTACCACTGAAGTGGTTTGTAAGAACAGCAACTTACTTCTCTTCAATTTCATTGTTTAAACGTTAGGAGTTTTTTATCAGATGATTTTGATGGTCCCCTCTTCCTCTAAAATTATGATTACCAAGTATTTCTCAGACTTTGTCTCCCTGAGCCTACAGTCATCAGTCTAGGTTTATTTTGCTAAAAGATGCAAACAAAACTAATTCTTACTCATCAATTTGGGAATAGCATTGCTTTCCAGTTGTTCCACAGGTTTCAGAACTTCCTCTAATTTATTATATCTCTAATCAACGTTTGTTGAAAATGTCTGGTATTTCTCATGGAACTGTGAAGATTTCTGTTTTATATCTGTGCATCTTGGCAAGACATTTCATTTTCCTCATAGATCTATTTGGCTTTTTTATCTTTATGTGCATGAGTCAAATCTCAATTAAAAGAACTCACCCTTTGTGCTTATTTATTATAAGTATGCAATCTGTAATCCCTGATCCCTAGGTATAGAAAAACAAAGTGCCAACTCTCTCATGCTTCCATATGTTTGCATAATAGTATTTGTGTCCAAGTTATGAAACATCTTAAACATAAATTACTGTAACCACTCCAGGTTTCATCATAATCATCATCAGTACCAGCAGCATTTATTGCATCTACTTAGGGCACTGCACTGGGTAAGAAGGCCTCGTCTTCTCAGTTCTGCCTAATATTTTGGGTTATTTCTCTTTATCTATAATCAAAAGAAGAGTCCCTTTCCTCAAATATGTCAACATGTCACTGCTCTTCTAAACAGTCTAGCCTGGCTGCTAGAGGAGGAGTGGTACTCACCCTCTTCTGTTGCCAACTCTGTGACAAAGAGAAAGGTGTGGGTTATTCTGCAACCCACCAAAGAGTTTTGTGTAGTCCCCAGAAGCGTATCACTTTCATCAGATTTCCCTCTTTGTAGGTAAATTTGTCAAACTGCATATTTTGTTGTGGGCATTTTCTGCTTAAATCCTTTCTCTGTCACTGTCATTTTTTAGATGCTCATTTTTGGTCCACAGATTATGAAAATGACACCAGAGACCTACCCAGTGAAGAATTAGGAATGAGAATCATCTTTACTCATAAAGTCTGTGGTTACCACATCTAACCCAGTTCTCTTGCCAAAGAACTTGCTCTCCAGGACAGGTGACTCTTCTGGCAAAACATGAGGTACCTGCTAAGGAATGTTCTTATAATCAGATAAAGGCCTGGTTTCGATTTCATCAAACTATCTTTTAATTTATTTTCCGTTTGAAAGCAGATAGTTTTCCCTTTTCTTTGGGTTTTTGTATGTAAATTCTGGTCTAGGTCTAAAATGGTGTGTATCATAAGATAGTTGTTACTAAAACCACAAAACATTAAAATTAAAGGGAAATCTATTGTGAAAAAGATACCAAATGTTCCCAAGGAAGCCTAAACTAATTGTACTATTAAATTTGTAAATAATGGATTGCCACTTCCAAAGTGAAGATATAGATTAGGCGAAAACAATCACCAAAGGAGGACCCTTTATTAGATTCTTCATTTGAAATGTTGTTCCTAACTTTGCTGAGGCGTTGGGAAACAAGGATTACAGACAGCAGAGGTAAACGAGAACTGGAACACTGGGATGAGAATGCCTAAGTTGGAAGCCTACCTTTAACCTTCTTGGGCCTCAAACTTCTCCTCTTAAATGGGAATAATAATGATTTGTTGTGCCATTCAAATAACTTAATAACCTGAAAGCACTTAATGCTTGTCACATTGTAAGCTCTCAGTAAATATTAGCCATCACCATTCCCGTCACAATCACCGCCATTGTTATTGTAGGAGTTGCAGGTCGTACAGTATATAGTCACGTTTATCCCAGGTACTATATTCCAGGTAGAAGTGTAAATTAATAACAAATTGTTGCTTCAATCAGCTTATTCCTCCAAATTGAGAGGAAAAAACTACACTGAGAGCTAAGATTTGGAGTATAAAGAGAACATTAAATGATTTCATAAAGTCCTGGCCAGCTTCACCTGAAAGCATTAACACAGGTTTGCATTTACAGAAATAAGATGAAAACCAGTTTTAAACTTTTTCTTCTTAAATGCTGGAATATACTGCGGTAAATTAGATTATTTTGTTTTTAGCTGTTAGGATCCAGTCTAAGTTTTTACAAACTACACAGTAGAAAAAGGATTTTTAAAAAGACGAATAGTAACTTATATAAGGATTTCATGGGTAAGAACTAAGTGAGTGAATGCATAATTTATAATTTGGAGTATTATTTTGTGACACATTTAAAATTATTACTCTGATTGATGATTTTGAAAATTCCAGGTACCATTAGATTTTATCCTTCTGTACAGTGTTTCTCTAAATAACATCTCCCAATGCACAAATATTTATCATTTTGGTTAGCATCCAGCTGGTAACCAATGAAATGATCCTGTGTTATTCTAGGATGGGAGCCAGGAACTGGTCTTATTGCATAAAGCTACTCTATTCCTCTTTGTATAAAATATATTCATCTACTGGTCCCTAGACACTTCTCTGAGAGAGCACTTAAAATTGTTCCCTTTGGAGTAGCTTGAGTGTCATTGAGAAATAAATTAAAAGACAAATGAAATCAACACAAGTATGTCTGATACAATCCTACAAAACAGTGAGTCTCATGGAGTCCCCAGGACCATCTTCATTAGAATCGCTCAGGGTTCTTGTTTAAAGCCCTAATTCCTAGGCAATAACCAATGCATAAAGAATCAGAATTTCTAAGTCAGGGCCCTGGAATCTGCATTTTATCAGTGTTCATGGGTAATTCTTAAACACACTCTTTTTTTTTTTCATTAAATTTTTATTTTGTCAATATACAATGTATATGATTATTATGACCCATCATCGACATCTCCCTCCCTCCTCCCTCTCTCCCCTCCCCCCCAAGAATGTCCTTTCCGTTTCCTTGTTGTAACAACTTCAAAAAGGTATAGTTGTTATATCTTCTTCCCCTACCCCCCGGTTTTTTTTGTGTGTGTATGTGGGTGAATTAATTTGTTTATTTTTTAGATCCCACCAATGAG